GCGGGACATGGCGGGACAGGTGGAAGAGGGAGTTGCGGAGGCTATCAGACGTGCAGGCTAAAGAAGGGACTGCCCTACGGGAACTTGTATTATCCGAGGGATTTTGGAAGCGGTGGCGATGGTAATGGAGGAAAGGGCGGTGGAGTGCTGAGTATTGACGTGGCAGATACACTACAGGTAACTATAGAATACAGACGTGACCCTCGTTAATATTCGTTAATTTTGTTTTATAGGGAACATGGGTCCGACTTCATGCAGCTTTCATTGTACAATTAGCCTCCTTCGCAGACGTTCTTACAAAGAGTGTCTGCGTAGAAAGCTACCGTACATTGAAACCTGTATTACAGAGCACCATTGGGAAAACATTCACCTTTGAAATCATTGTACTCTCTACAGTTCTTCTGTGTTCTCAAATGCCGTTGGTCTTTCATGACAGAATATTACCTGGCTGTGGTTTCATCACTTAATTGTTAACGAACGCATACCGTTCCTCTTTGACTACTACAACATTTTCTGATTTGTTTACTGTATTGTCCCTCGTAGGTTGATGGCAGTATCATTGCAAACAGTCGAGATCACAACAACGACAATGGCGGCGGGAGCGGTGGAAGTATATTAATTCATACCCAGGTCCTCTCTGGTGGCCACACAGGTATTATACAATCTCGTGGCGGAAGTGGCACCGCGGGCTCAGGCGGTGGATCGGGCGGTCGCATAGCGGTCTATTACAGCAACAATGACACACACCATCCATACAGAGGGAGGTTCGATACCAGTGGCGGTAGTGTGACTTCCGGTGCGGAGGCTGGTGCTTCCGGGACAGTTTATCTGAAACACATCGGAAGTGAATTTTCGACGTTGCAGGTCGACAACAATGGTCAGCGGTCTCTGGATGACGAGATCCCAAACGAGGGTCGCTTGTTAGATTTGTCAGGAGGAAGTCGTCACCAGTACACAACATACACTGCGCCAAATGGGATGACAGTCACATCCAGTTGTGGATTAAATCAAAACCATTGTACTTGGTTATGTTCTGGTAGTTGCCCGGACTATGCTCTGGCCCATCTGTTTGACCAGTCGTTTTCCAAGTCCAGCTGTCTTGGTTTCTTCTTATCTAATTGCCATTATACCAAACTGACGGTCGATTTAAAGAGTTCTCTCTTTATCAATCACATCAGGGTCTACCCGTATTGTGGTAGCTCTTCAGCGAACTTTCGCGTAAGTAGAGTCAGCTCCTTCACGAGGTTAGAGCTCCAAAATACAGATTCTCTTTACTGACTGAAAATATTTATTTTAATGGTAGTTGTGAGAATTTCGTACTGGGCTAAGGCAACACCGCCTAGATGATGGTTATCTAAGTTTGGCAACTTCTTTTGTTACCGTTGATCTTAAGTTGGATGACGTTAGTTTTGGGTTAAGTTACAAAATTCTTCCCATTTTTTAGTGTTTCAATTTTATACAATTTTAAAATGCCCTCATGAATATAGAAATTGCATGCTACCTGAAAATGGAGCCAAAGTCTCTTTCTTTTTTTGTACTTTTTCACTTTTTTTTTTGTAACATTTTGCTAATGATATTTTAAAACGCCATACATTCCACACAATGCGTTACAGACAGTAAAATACTAATATACTTTACTTGCTATAAACTCGCCGCTTTCAACACATCACTTACAATAAACTACTTACAATACTGGCAATAAACTTACAATAAATTATCAATAGACTAAACTTTACAGCAGACTCATTACAATACACTATACACTTTTTTGTTGCAATGAGCCTCTAAATATAGAATTATAAGAAATTATAGTTGTGCACAATTTCCTTAATCAATTGCCACGTGCTCAACATTGCCGAATACCTTTACCTGTTGTTACTTCAGGTCAAGACTAATGATGGTACCAGTGACGTTCCAGTTACAAGCGGCTACGTTCAGATGTCCAATGGCTGTATCCAAGGTTCCTATGTTGATATGCCCGTCAGGAGGAACTCAACGAAGATATTTGTGGAGCTCAACCGTGAAGGAAGCTATGCTGGTCTCTCTGAGTTGGAAATATTCATTGAAGGAAGAGAGGTTTGGGAAAGGTTAGTATGACATGTCTTGCTTAAAGGAGCTACCGATCGGGAAAGCTCTTGTTGGTGTGTAAATGAAGTTTGCCGTTGACGTTTGCAATCCGGGCGCAATCCTCCTCTCGCAATCCTTAACTGTCCTCGTTCCTTTTTGTTTTATTAGTACCTTTTTTGTGAGTTGTTTTCTTCATATTTTAGTTAAGCATTATTTGAAGGCAGGAGTCAGCCAATGCATACCATACATCCCAAAATTACTTCATATAACGTGATGCAGCTCTGGTAAATTCACTTACAATGTCTTCTCACAAGAAGTTTCTTATCGTTCAGTGTTATAGCAGGTTTTCCCATTGTTAAAAATCTCTTGTTCGGGCTCTGCAAAGTCTCCAACGATCCCACAAGCTCTCTGCTTCTAAAAGCCATTCAGCAAAGTGCTTTTTGCCTGATACAAAGGCTAAGGAACTACACTAGTGTAAAAGTGTCATATCTATTCTGCGCAAGTAATAAAAGGAAACCCTGTAAGTAATCAGGATAAAACCTCGTTTTGTGAGCGTAGCTTGAACTCATCTCGCGCGAGGTACCATTACCAAAAGAAATACATTAGCTAGCTTTGAGAGTGGACGCAAAATTCTCATATTTTCCATCATTAAACCCCGTCACTGCCTCATTTGAATACTCTTCCTGCGGGGAATGAAAAGTTAACGCCCCAATGGGTGTTATATGACCCAAGTAAAGCACAATTGCTTCATAAAGTGAAATGAGCAGCGCAAGCGTTTTGTAAAGACTATATCGGTTTTGAAATTCTCTCTCATTTTTTACACAATACTTCTATCCAGGTACAAGCATAGGAGTTATGATGGAGCCAAAACCTGGATAGAGCCAGCGGCTGGCACCAATGTGCACAGATTCAATGAAGTGCACATCCGGGGATCTGCTCAACTCGCTGTAATGCCGCTGAATGGTTTGCGGGCCCCAGTACATTTTCATGCTGACCGGCTCTACGGAGATAAGAGTGGATTCCTTCATGTAGGGTACCATCAAAATTTCTCTGTGGCTGTCACCGACCCTGACATTCCGTTTGGTTTGCGCGTTTATGAAAATGGAAGCATGATGTTGCCGAGACGTGCTTTCTTGCAAACAGTCAGCTTCAAATCGTCAGGAAAGGTGTGTATTCTCTCTACTCTCCCAAGTTCTACCCAGACCATAAGTTTCAATGAGACTGGGTAGTACGTAGCATGCCAGAACTTATTAAGGAGCTTAAGCAAACCACGGCGACGACGGCAACGAGAACGTCACCAAACAAAAGGTTTAATGAGCAGAACAATAGCTGTGCATGTGCGTTATAAGTCTTCGTTCATTTTGCTGTCCTCTGCAGAACACCAACTTGAAATGACTAAGTTCTGCGTACTGGCTGAGGAACGCGAATGACGACGGCTAATTTGTCGTGTTTCCGTTTCAAATTGAACGCTGTCTTTGCATATTTAACCAGAGCATATTTTCAGAGCCATTGGCGTACTGAGCAGATCTAGACTGTTGCAAATCTCGCTGTAATAAGAATAATAAGTTATAAATATAAATTCATTTTTTGTTAGGCCTCGTCCTAGGCGTCGCCTTCGTCATTGTTTAAGCTCCCTATTGTTGAAGGCAGCGTGGCCGAGTGTTTTAGGGCGTTGGATTTGAAATTTGGAAGTCCCTGGTTGAAATCCTTCTCGCTATCTGGATTTGTTCTCCATTGCGTTGTGTAAATAGCCAACTGGTCAGCCTCCCACCAGTTGGGATTCTTAATAGTTTACGTTCTGTTTGCAATATTTGGTTATTTATTTACAGTTTTCCTAATTAGCACAACTGTGCTAAATAAATTCGACAGTTATACAAAGTTATTGCATCGTTTCCGTGGACAGCATGCGCAAGATGGCGTTACGTAGTTTGCTTAATTAAGCTGACTTAAGGTGATTTCCAAAATGAATTGTCGAGGCCAGTTAATTCTCGTCTTTCCTGTTATAATAATATTGTTTTTTAAGCAAACCTTATGTCTGATGTACGTTTTTAGTAAAGACTGGTAATTTTATACGTGGAAACAACTCCTTGATTTGTGAGCAGGGATGGGCGCAGTGGTGAGAGCGCTCGCCTCACACCAATTAATATTGTAGCCCGGTTTCGATTCGGGCCCGTTGTCATATGTGGGTTGAGTTTGTTGTTAGTTCTCGCTTGCTCCGAGGGTTTGTTTTTTTGGGTTCTCCGGTTTTCCTCCCTCCACAAAAACCAACATCTCCAAATTCCAATTCGACCAAGATAGGGGACCCGCGTGGAAACCAACTAAGGCTGATATGGCTTCCTCTCTAAAGATGATAATTTACTTTAATATATAAATATATAAGTGCTGTGTTGCTGTAGGAATAAAAGCTTCTGCATTCATGTAAATGATCTAGATCCAGAAGTGCTTGCGCGCGTACCTATCTGTAATTACGTGTGCGGCGTTGTTCTTCGATATAGTAAAGAAGTATTTACTGTTCAACGACAAATACCTGTTATTGCATGTTTCCATATTCCTTGTAGATCTGGGGCGTACAAGACTTGTTTGTGTTCGATCGTGGGTCATTCTACTCCGACTCAAACTCCAGCCTTGGCAGGGACACCTCTCCTGGAGAGTACTCAGTCCAGTCCCTTCACGTTCAGGACAGAGGAGTGTTTGAACTGAATTCCTTTGACAAGAAATTGACCAGCCAGTTGTCTCTCACAAACTTGACGGTACAGAAAATCATCCTCCTTTATATTTTATCTCTCAGTTACTACGCGCTCTGATTGGTCAATTTAGCGGGCCTTATTCTACTGTACGGCCCGCTAAAATTTAAAGCCGCTTTTGTTGCCAAAATGTTTCGTGATTTATATCGCCAAGTGTTCATAACTTTTACAGCAAGTAAACGTTTCAAACTTTCTTTTACTTTAAATTGTGAATTAAAACGTGCTAACGACTTAATTAACGATTTCAAATTGACTCGTTTTGCTTTCGACATCCGTCAGAAATTTGAACCGTTTTGCGAGAATAGAAATCGTTCCCGAACCCGTCAGACACACAGTAGAGTTATAATAAATAACTTATTAACCTCGTCTTTTCGGTCCGTACTGTAAGTTACGGATCCTCGTTTTTCGCCCTTCGATTTATGGCCCGCGCGCTTCGCCCTTAGGCCTAAGTCGAAGGGGAAAATACTCGGTTCGTAACTTACAGTACAGACCTCGAGCTCGGTTGGTAAGAAGTATATGTAAGTGGATACTAGTGCTTACGTCCAAAATGGCCTCCGACGTGCTTGATCAAGTCACATGAAAGTTGTATAATTTCAAACCTTCTTAATGTTTTTTCTTACTAGATTTTTGGCGGAGGCCACTTCAAGTCAAACAATAAATTGAACATTGTGGTTAAACATCTGTTAAGAATAAATTCCGGAGGAAGACTGAGTCATAATCACGCTGGGTACATTACTAAGGAGGGAAGGCCTGGAAATGAGTTTGAACCATCTGAAGGAGCAGGCCAGGGAACTGGTAACGTGTATGGAGCGAGTGGTGCTGGCTACGCCGGAACTGGTGGAAGAGGAAGTGGGACGAATCACGTGGGCCAGTTTTACGGAGATTATAGAAAACCTTTTGATTACGGGAGTGCAGGAGGCTTCGGGTTACATTATGGTAATACGATATAAAAAATTCATATGTTTTTAGACCGAGTGGCGATTTTCTAAAATTTACTCCAGGTACCATCCAATTACAGCTGGCATTATTGTGGCCTTGGAATGAGGACCAACTGAAATTCTCCTAATATGAAGCACGTAAAGGTTACGATTATGTCAGATCTGATTACGACAATATCATTGTTCATCTCTAGGTGGCCTGTATTATGGAGATTACCGCACGAGCACAGTGGACCCCTATAAAAACCTCATCACCCGAAGTGGACTGGGAGGACAAGGAGGTGGGGCAATAAAGATTGTGACGCGCCACTTGATTCTTGATGGACACCTGTCAGCAGATGGAGAAGACGGTCCTCCCCCTAGCACGGCTGGAGGAGGCAGCGGAGGAAGCATCTGGATCGACTGTGAAGAGCTGGATGGCTACGGAACGATCAGTGCCAGGGGGGGTGCTGGGTCTCCGCAGGGAGGAGGGGGATCAGGTGGCCGCATTGCTATTTATCACGCTTTCATGCTCAATTTCAACGGCACGCTTTCCGCCAAAGGTGGTGACAGTGTCGTTGAACCAGGTGCTGCTGGAACCGTGTTCCTTGAGACTCGAAACGACAGCATAGTGGAGTACAGAGTTTTGAAGATCAATAACTATGGATTGGCCTACCCTTGGGCTGTTAATAAGTTGCAAGGGAGACTTCGACATCTTATGAAGGGAATCTATAGCGATACAAGATACATTGGAGCTGTCACTTGGCTGCACGAGGCGGACAATTACACCCTCGACGAGTTCCATCTCCATGGAAACTCACACGTGGCTCTGTATGGGAACGCATCACGTGAGAATGTCACCCTGTATGCTCATACTCTCCGTGGCGATCGGAGTGGCGTGCTTCACATTGGTCGCCTTCAGTCTGTAGTGTTTAAATTCGTCGATCTTTATTTTCCGATTAATACACTAGTGTACTTCAACGCGTCTTTAGAGGTTCCGCGGCGGTTATCACTGCGGGAGGTTTACATGGAAATCAATGGAACTCTTGCGGACTCCGATGACTACACCATCGATAGAGATGGGAAGCTGTTTCTATGGTCTGGTGGCAATTCTCTCGGAGAAGAGCTGGGCCACTTCCGGTTCATCAACATGTCAATCAAGTCGCTTGGTCTGCTGCACACCACAAAACTGCCGGGGCATGGTCCTGTGAGTCTGCACATGACACGATTTGTGGTAAACGCTGGCGGGCTGGCCAGTGTCGACGACTTTTTTTTGGACTCAGAGAACGCCACAATCGATGTTGCTGGTAAACTTCATTTTTATTTTTGCTAATATTAAATTAAAGCATGCATACATGTACTTGCTTTTCTATGGTTTTGCGTGTGCCAGGATTTAGGGAGAGTACATAATATTTGTGAACTTACAGCCTAATAAAATGCGAAAACCGTAACTTATTATGGTTTAGCTCGGACGACTTTTCCTGCGCTTTCAACCAAGCGTCATTGATGTGATTGTAGCGTGCTGTGATTGGCGTATTACAATCTTTATGTCGTGATCTGTGACGAACTTCCTTCAGTCTCTCTCAGATTTTGCGCAAACCCTCAAATAGATTGCAGTAGGTGGGACTTCCTTTTTCTTTCCGAAGTCTGCCCTGTTTTTTTTTCTGTATTATATTTCGTGCCTTTACCATTTTCTCACAAACTTTGGCCTGGAAAAGGATAATCTTTCATCAAAGTACATTTATTGTCAATCAGATTCAACCTTTGATCCGTAGCCGTGAGCTCAGAATCTCTGACTTCTAAAAACCAGTTAAAGCAAATGTAATTAAGTAGACTGATAATTAGATAGATGTTTATCAGTTGTTTGTAGAAATGTTTTTATATGTCACGAATAGTGAAAAACAAAATTATATCAAGAGAAGTTTAGAAAATATATGCAAAGCAATTAGGAAAATCTCTGTGGTAATCTAAATTATTCGTTCCGCAATCAGGTGAGGTGTCAGCGGACTTCAGAGGACACGGCGCCGAACAAGGACCGGGAGCTGGTCTTCGGCAGACTTCCTACAACACTGGTGCCGGAGGTGGGGGCCACGGGGGTCGAGGTGGACGGGGATCAGCCGGTCTCCAAACCTCTTACTCATACGACTCTATATATGAGCCCAGACAGTACGGAAGTGGTGGTGGCAACGGCCTGTACGGCTGGGTTGGAGGACGAGGAGGCGGTCGCATTGTTTTTGAGATCTCGGAAATGCTACGACTCGAGGGACTTGTGCATGCCAATGGTGGGCCTGGAAGTGGAAATTTCAATGGGAGCGGCGGGGGTGCCGGGGGTAGCATTGTTATCCGCGCGTTGAATTTTGACGGTGAAGGCACCGTGTCGGTCAATGGCGGATCGGGCTTTTCGAGCCACGCGCCTCATGCAGGCGGTGGCGCTGGCGGACGCATTGCTGTTTATTACAATGGAAATTACACCTTCATCGGATCCTTCCAGAGCTATGGGGGAACCAGTCAGGCAGAGTGGGGCGGAGCTGGAACTGTGTACATGGAAAACAATCGAAACGCTAGTCGACCCTACCGCACTCTTCGAATTGACAACAGAGTATCCCTTAATGGACCATCAAGGCTTCAAGAGATACAAGAGCTGAAACTGGCCGGGAACAAAGCTGATTATCCATATTACATGACATCATACCGAGCCCCAAACGGAATTGTTTTAAGCACAACAGGAACACCTTATTGTTATAGAACTGTCTCTCACGACTCTCGACAGTGTGAAACTGGCAACCCGATGCTGACAAATCTGTTTCTGACAACGTCCGATCACTATTACACTCAGGATTCAAACCCCGTTGTGACATATCTCTTTCCGCTGCCGTTGTACTTAGAGTACTTGTTGGTTTATCCTTATTGCCATTCGTGGTTTTGGACTAAATATCACGTACGCATTTACCTCAGTAACGCTGAAGTTGCTGGATCCAGTGACTGGATCAACCCTACATATTGCCTGCAAGGACAGCCGGGCAGAATGGATGTTGGACTGACTGTTGATAAGGTAAGTAATTGATCAAACACGAAAGACCGTGTTTTACCACATTTCCAAACACCAACAAGAGAGTTGAAAATACGACGCGCATCGAAGTATTTTTGACGAACTTTGAGGTGTTTTTAAATGTGGTTAAACACTGTCTTGAGTGTTTGATGTATCTTCTCAATCGAAACTAAAACTAACTACAAAACGGAGAAATAGTATCGCAAAAAATCTCTGCTAATTAAGAACAGATATCCGAACACCGACACGGTCTTTATTTGCTTTGTTCAAACTCGATGAATTATTAATGAGTTTGAGAGGTGACTTTCTTAATATCCGTTAAGGAGCAAGTGTCGCATAAACTCATTGCAGAGAAGTAACCTAACTCGAAGTTACAAGGAAACTTGTGGACACGCTTATAATTATGTAGCAACCTTTTGGACAGGGTCCTTCCATGCACTTATATAATGGTCAACAAGAGCCTGATGGACATTTTTTGTGAAACGTTGAGTCGTTTTTGGTCATCATGCGTCATCGTATTTTTGGTACGCCTTCGGCGGCACATCAGGCGAGTTTGATGGTTCGTATTTGATGTGCCGCCGAAGCGTACCTTAGTTCGGCCATAAAAACTGCGCTATCAGGTCAGTGATTTGATTTCGCTGGGTATCTTGACAGTAGCCAATGCTAGATTTTAGTCCATTGAAGGATTCCTCCATAACAGGTTACCTCAATAGTCGTGCGGAGAACCTCTGTGTGATTGATTTAAGTGCCTTGCCCGCGAACAGGCTTAGACAGAGGCCTAAGCTTAAACCACTGGCTTGAATTACCGCTATGAATTACGGGGGAGGTGAATATTAATGAAATTCTTCATTATATCATTATTTCTCGTTATTTTCTTCAAATCCACCAATCCCCCATTCCTTTCTTCTCCATGATAGTGATCTTAAAAATCATCCAAGAATTCCTTGTAGCCTTTCACTTCAAACCTTTATTGCACTTTTAAATTTATAAATTATCGAGCAGAAGACGAGAGAATACCGCTTAAACTTATGTAAAACGTGGCGTTCAGGTGTACTTTTTGGTTTGTTATTATCTCTTGTTTTTTTCTATCTAAGTAAACTAATATTTTCGGGTTTCCTTTAATTTAAAGGTAATTTGTGCGTGGCCAAAATGACTCAAAATACCGTGATTGAGCTCCTTCAAGCCATCGCACCGTCCTTCGAACTAACTTGTCTCCATGTATTAATATGTCTCCGTTTGATTTCCAGGTAGTTCTAAGTCTCCAGAAAACCAGCACGAATTCTTCTCTTAGTCTCGTGAGGTTCTTCGTTCGAGAAAATCCTTCGACCACACACCAAACGCCACATTACACTAGCCCCAGTACCTCGTGGATCATAAGTGAGGACGAACAGACCAAAGAACATGACTTCAATGAGGTATATGTTCTTAGTATTCCTTGGATTGATGTCAAAGTTAACGCCATCTTTTAGGTGAACCTGTTGTTGGGTACCGCCACACATGTGCGCCACGACAGACCACTGACTATGGTACTGACCTAAGAAACACTTGCGTTTTTCTTGTTAACATGCAGTTAACTGCATTGAAATATTTTACTTAAATGTAAATGAGTTCCAATCCCTGGGTAATAAGTTTAAATAGGTTTGTACTTACGACTGCTTCTGTATAGTTTTTGAAGTCGCATGTCGCATTCCATTGCCTTTATGTGTCGAAGTATCTTCTCGCGTGACAAAACCTCTTTTTAACACTCTGGCCTGTTTGCTCGAGAACCAGTTGACACTAATGTTTGATTAAACCGACTATTATTTCATCCGTTGTTGCCGTAATTTCCCTCTATGCCCATGCTCGTTTCTCACTAGTTTGTTTTTTGGTAATGTGTTTTTGTCCATTGTCTCTGTTAAGCTGCAAATTATGGGCCAAGGAAGCCTGTCGATATCTGGGAATAACGTGAAAATGAGCGTGGACAAAATTGTTGGCGACAGCAGTGGTATCCTAACCGTGCGCCCCACCCAGACCGTCCATATGAGGGGCTCGGAGGGACACCTTCCATTCTCGCTCCTGTCACAAAAAGGTTCCAATGTGACCTTTCCCAGCAGTATGAACTGTCGTGGAGTTGAGGTTGCGATGCGAGGTGTGATGGGAGAAATGACGAATCTTACTGTTGGACCGCAGTGTCGGTTTATTCTTGAGAACTCCACTGAAACGGAATTCGCCTTAGATCACGTGGTTGTGCAGACGGACGGTTACATGGCGGCTACCAGAGAAGACAGACAAGATGTGCGGATGATTGGAAAAACGTTTGACATTAGAGGGGGAGCTAAGGTCAGTAGATTGTGCATTGAATAGAACATTTAACAGTTGTCTGTTCAGTGACCTGAGGCCCGTTTCTCGAAGGTCCCGAAAAGTTTTCGCACCCGGAAAGGCGTAGCAAAACCTGAAACCTTATGATTACAGAGCTGTTTTATTCACGTATTATTAATATGAACAGAGGTTCTCTTCATACGAGGAGTTTCGGGCGTGTATACCTCTCGGTTTTTAGATAGAGATTATCCAGAATGGGCTTTGCGGACCCGAAAAGTTTCCGCCACTTTCGAGAAACGGGCTCCTGGCCTTTGAATGACAGCGAGGCTGCAGGTGACCTTGTTTCGATAAAGACCTCACTGCTTTTGTTGTGTAAATCGAGTTGTTCTAATGCTAATAAGTTGGCATTTAAATGGAAAAGTAGAGAGGTCTGTATCGAAGCAAGGTCACCTCCAGCCTCGCTTGCCTCCGTAAAATGGCCTGTTGTCTTGTTTGACGAATTCATCTCTGTAGATCTTACTGTTTCTGATGAGCATACTGTCGAAAGATGCCTATTGCCTCTGTATTTAAAGGTCTTCGTCCGAAACCATTCATATGAGAACATGTTTCATTTGAACGTCTGTCTTCATTCAAATCACACTCGTTTTTGTTTGCACGAGGATCCCTTCTGAAACAGATGCAAAAGACCACGTAATGGATTTCGAGTCATTTTTCAATTTCCCTGATAATTCAGAGCCATCTGACAATTTGGAACAGAAAATAAACAAGGCGACACCGAGGATTGAAACAGCTGATGTATAAACAGACCAGAACAATGAGTGTATGAACAGATCAGAACATCTAATGTATAAAACACCTTAGACATTGTTATAGCTTTAATGAACTAGTTAGCTTGTACAGATTACCTGATTTCCACATTGGTTTACCGTCTATAATTGTCAATCTCAAAGAACACATTTTTAATGCTCTTCACACTCACTTCGTGTGGAGGCGCGGTAGCCTCATGGTTCAAACGCTTCACGTAACTGAATATGCCCCAGCTAAAACTGGGGAATCTCCGAGTGATATTCCCCACTTTCAAAATTGACCGTGTTGCGAAAACGTTTTGAAGGATAATTGACACAATAGCCTCCATTTAGCGCAAAAATATGCTCGGATAAATATTTGTCCTTGGACATCATCTGTTTCTCAAAGCTTATATTTTTCCTCAAGATATTCTCTCGGAAAACTGCTCGCTTCTCAGAACAGATAATTGTAATGTCCAGGGACAAATATCCGAGCATATTATATTTTCGCGCTAAATGGCATGGGGGCTATCGTTTATATACCATTACATTTTTATACGCATCATTAGCCTTGATACATAAGCTATTACTATGAAATAGAGTCGAAATATTGAAACTTTCCTCATTGCAAGAACTTGGTTTAACAATGATAACAATCCTCCTTTTCGTCTAGTTTATTTTCAAAGTCGTGCGTGTACTCCACGCCATGGGTAACAAGTATGCTTTGCTCCAAACATAATTGTACTTTCCATTTTATTGTTGACTTGTAGTGGTCCTAGCATGCGCAGTTAAACGTATCTGCTGTGGAGAACCTAAGAACGATTAACTGGTCGTTTTGAAGAGGTGGTCGAAGGTCTTAGGTTTCCGGAAGAAAAGGTGCACACGGGCTTGGGACGAAAACTCCAAGTCGTTATTAGACGTTTTACCAAGACTGAAGAGTTGTGCGTATTAATCTATTCTATTTTGATTTTTCTCAGATGGAGGCAAATAGTCTCACTTTAGACTACGTGAACATCACTGTGGAACCCTTCGCTTACCTCTCAGGTGATGGCCTTGTTGATGAAATTCCTGGATTACGTTACTATGGAGACGGGTGGGGTGGTGTCTCCGGCTCCTCTGGTGCAGGGCATGGCGGTCACGGAGGGCTGGGTAAAGGCCAGTCAAAGGTCGGTGTCTCATACGGGAAGTACAGAAGACCCACGACATTTGGAAGCACGGGCGGAGCCGAGGTTTTTCCGTTCACAGGCGGATTAGGTGGAGGCCGGTTTAAAATCATTGCTCACGATACGTTAGTAGTTGATGGAGTATTATCCTCTAAAGGGGGAGCTGCACGGGCTTCTCGCAGCGGCGGTGGAAGTGGAGGGAGTATTCTAGCGTACACATCAAGATTACATGGCGACGGAGAATTTGACGTCTCCGGTGGCGACGGGGACAGCTCAACCGGGTATTACGGGGGTGGAGGTGGGGGTGGTCGTGTTTGCTTGTACTATCGCGAGAACCACTTCCTGGGTCGGTTTCTCGGTGCAGGGGGCACCAGTCCGTACGAACCCGGTGGTCCAGGTACAGTGTTTCTAGAGAATGTGCCCGGAATGAACGCTACCTATGGGCACGACCGTATCGACGAAGCAGCACACGCGGAAAGAATAATTCTGGATGAAGACGTTATCAACGGGACACGGTGGACTCGAAACAGAACTTTGTACCTAAACGGGCTGGGTCGAAAACCTTTAATTCCCGACGCCAATCTTGGCGCAAGCTACAGTGACTTCAGTCACGGTGGATCAAGCAGGGCGTGGCTCACATTGGATGATGAGGATCTGGAAACAAACGGAACTGATGTTGAACTGGACGAGTTGCAACTTTACGGTGGAGCGCAGCTAGCCATCATAAATCCGACAAGCACCAAAGCGCATATCTCAATCGTGATTGGTCAAATGGAAGGAGATAGAACCGGGAGAATCCATTTGGGCTACAACCAGACTTTCCTCTCCCTCCAGTCGTACCTCCCCATGGACATGATCATTTACCAGGGGGGGTTAACATCAATGCAGGGAGAACTGCTTGTTGCCGGGGTTACTGTCGAGGTTGATGGTGTTTTGAGAAGATGCCAGAACATTACAGTAGTTGATGATGGTCTTATTCGAATGAAGGAGATGTATGATACAGAGGGAAAGCCGACCAAGGTAAGTGAAATGAGTAGCCCTTGATGCCGTTACAATGATCCTTCACATAACAACTTCCTCAAGATTTATCAGGCTTCTAAGAAGTTTTTTTTGGCTTTTGGCAACAAAAATGCTTGCGAACTGATTGTAAACGAGTTAAAAGGTTACAAAGGTTTGAGAAAGTGATTCAATTACACCAACAGGCCGACATCAGTATGCCAATACCTTTACTAATTGAATTAGAAGTTGATTTTACATAAAAAACAGTTTCCTCTGATTGGTTAGTTCATGAGTCCAACAACTATAAATCTTGAGTAGAAAGTATGTATTAAAATCGCCAAAGTCTGCTCGTGTTAATTGGGTGGTCGCTATAAAGGGGTTCCTAAATAAGAACCGAACTGACCGAGGTGTTAAGGAAATGTTGTACTGCACAGTGAAGCGTATTTAGTTATCTACTTCGGTTACAGACCAATAGCAATATACACTGTTACTAACATGTGATTTATCGTTCATTTCTAGACCTTTTATTTCGAGTCAATCAGCGTTCGAAACAAGGGCACCATGACGGTGACCAATCAGGAAAGAGTTCGTGAATTCCGTGGGACATCTATGCATGTCTTCGGCGGAGGAACGTTTACAGCAGTTAATCTTCATGTGCACGTCCTGAATTTTACCATCGATGCTTTAGCTACCGTCCATGCAACTTTAAAGGGACAGAGCTTTGTTTACGATGGTATGTTTACTTCGGTCTAGTAATCTGGTATTGTATCGAAATGTATTATGTTGCCTTTATATGAAAAGCTCTCTTTAGCGGGTAATCTTTCATCTCTTGACCCTAACCAAGCTCGTACTCTTTTAGTGTCCTGTTTTCCTGTCGTGACTTAATGACGAAGCGCGCGAAGTCTAAAAATAAAATGTAAATTATTGGAACCTCGTGAGAGTCAGACATCATAAGAGTGTTCTGAGAGAAATAGGAGGAAAATGAACGCCAAATTTTCATTTTAAAAATTGTTTTAGGAACACTTGTTTACGCGCTTGGAAGAGCTTCAAATCTTCCACCATTCCGTTTTGTTTGTCTGAGTTTGTCTGAGTTATAACGTCATTCGCGCGCTTGGCTATTATTGTAGGAAATGCTCTTTTGAGAAAACGTTCTAACATATAGTTGACGACTTCGCCAAAATCGCTGTAGGTAGCAAGTGAACAGAGATAATTTCTGATAAACGTGTCATAAAAGTCATAATTCTCAGCGACCAGGGAGGGGTGGTAGGGTTACTTGTGATGAACTAGTTGCCTCAAGCCACGGCAAAAAAACAGAGCTGAGTGTTACTTACGGGCTGGCGGCTCATCTTTGGCAACTTAGCTATCTTTCTAATTATTTTGATTGTCGCGATTGACTTTACAGGTAAGGGTCCTGGTGCAAACTCTCCGTCCCCAGGCTTTGCCGGAGGATCAGGTGGAGGTCACGGGGGACTGGGCGGACGTGCTGCGAGTCAAGTGACCACGGGAGCTTCATATGGGTCACTAAAACAACCCAATGACTTTGGTGAGTTTGAGTGATGTTTCACATGAGCTTAGTAGCTTAACTTTAGGGTTGTTCAGATTTCTGTTTAGCGTGTTAGCGACGTGTCGATGATTTTCTTTATTCTTGGTTCCTCCGCTTGAAATATATCACTTTTGTAAGAAGAAAGTAGATCTTTCTTATTCTTGGCCAAGTGACTGCAATCAATGTCCCTTTTACGTCCAAACGATTGATGTTATTCTCTTCGAGTCATTTTCAAACAACATTCGAAGATCATAATTTAAATTACACGAGGTTTCCCGCCTTTGTCGCCATTACACGTCTTCTCGCACTAACCGCCGGCTACGTTCATTTCCTTACTTACCGCGTTTGTTTTCCGATAGTTTTATATTTTCTTGCGCTTGCCACTGGTTTACTTATTTTCTTGCCCGTGCCGCCGGTTCCATATTTTCCCGTGCTTGCCGCTGGTTACCAGATTTCCCGTGCTTGCCGCCTGTCATCCATTTTCCTGCGCTTATCGGCGGGTATATGTTGTTACGTCAAGCTCTGATTGGCTTATGGCACCATTAGTGTCGTTATGATTGTGATAACCTTCGTGTGGGTATCATGAAAATCGTTAATTAATCGAGTAAACTGATTAATGGTGATGTTTGATCAACAGGCAGCAGTGGTGGCAAGGGAAGCGGTGGTGGGCACGGAGGCCGAGGTGGTGGTATTTTATTCCTCAACATCAGCGACACATTGGACATAGAGGGAACGCTGAGTGCTGATGGCGACAACTATGTTGGTTCATACGCTGGGGGAGGTAGTGGTGGAAGTATTCTTATTAGAACTGTTACATTGGAAGGAAGTGGGACTGTGCAGGTTAGTTCAATTAGCTGCTCAAACCTGAGCAAGCCTGAGCAAGTCACTTGCAATTGGAAGCAATGTTGTGCATAATTAGTGGCGCCACTTAATTATCTCCTCGACTGCAAACTTAACCGGTTTTTGTTCTAAGTTATCACAGGCTGTGTAAATGAAATATTTATGTGGCCGGGCGTGTTTACAATACGGAAACTGAGAAGGCTTTTGTAACATGAAAAATTGTTTTGGTTGTTTCTGTTACGTTGAATCATCTAAACCTTATAACGATTAAATCTGTTGTCAGTGTCTTGGACTCGAAATACCTGACGTCTGGCTCTGGTCACCTGACCCCTAGCAGTTTGTCGTTTGCGGTGAACGGTGATCTCAAGTATCTAATTGTAATATAGCGTTGGTGCCTTACGACTACATATTAAAAAGTGATAAGAACGAGCGGAGTGTAACGGCTCTCTATGAAAGATAAGATTAAATCATATGACCATAGAAAATTTGTCTGAAAAGTATTGTGGGAAAAGTGAGCTTTGTTTTATTCATGTCTGGTAGAATGGTTCTCAACTGGGTGTCGTAAAACCAAAACCAAACTAATTACTAACCTACTCAGCCAGTCTCAGACCGTATTTAAACCAAAACCAAAACCAAAGTAATTGTCCGATTACTTTCGACACTCAATTGAAAACCGCTCTATTGTATGTTATTGTGTGCACGTCTTATTTTCACATTAGATGTGTCCATGGTAGCGGTCTGTTTTTGTATACACTAAAGTGCTGTTTGTTTTTGTACTGCAGGCAAATGGTGGCAGTGGATATAGAGACCCATCTAGAGGAGGGGGAGGTGGCGCTGGTGGCAGAGTCGCCTTGTACTACCAGGGAGGATTCTTTGATGGCTTCTTAGAAGCTGCTGGCGGGATTGGTGACGTAGAGAATGGTGCAGCTGGAACTGTGTACGTGGAAAAAGCAAGGAATAATTCTGACCGTCCATATCGAACACTGAAGGTGGATAACAAGGGTCGATCACCGCTCACTGAACGAATCAATCAGGTACACAACGATTTTTAGTATTATTTTAGAAGAGCTCACTCACGTTTTTGTTTAGTTATTTTGGCCACGTATAAAATTACCTTTAAATTAAATGAAACCTGAAAAGAGTAGTTCACTAAGGATAGAAAAACACCAAAGAGATAATAATAAACCATGAAGAAACAAGGAGGGTTAAGGATGGAGAAGATTAACACGAATTACAAACGAGTATCTTGAAAAATTCAGGCTAAATTTTTTAAGATGTGCAAACCGTGACGTATGCTTCTTTAAGTGCGTTATTACTTTTTCCACACATCAGCTTGAGAACTTGGCAGGTATTCTGTAAAAGATATCG